ACATTGTGCCCTGCCGGACATCTGACTCTGCAGGTACCTCTGCATTTTTACCTGCACTGCTACATCCCCCTTTCCCCCTACCCCCCACCCCAGCCTGTCCCTCACCCCGATGCCTCCATTTCCATTTTCACTGACTGGCTTTCTTGCCTGCATTGTGGTCCAGGCCAGCCTCTGGCTTCTTTACTATTCCTTCCATCCAGGACCAACCGCAGGTACTTCCTCAGCCTGGCAAAGGGGTTTTCAACCCTAAAGCTTCCAAAGTTACATTTTTTTTTCATAATACACATATAGACATAAAAACACAAGATATACCATCACACACCATGAGTAATATCATATGTCCAACACAACACAACACAACATCTTTACTTCTTGCTGTCAATTCCTTTATAAAAAGAAAGGCTCCATGACAGTTCCATTTGGGTACCTTTGATGCTGCTGCTGATGCTACTGGTGTTGAGCTAGCTAAGTTATTTTACCTGTTGTCACGTAAAGTGGTGGACCAGGCATGAGGCTGTAGGAGAGGAGGAGACCTCACTGGGGCACACTGCCGTGTTATGCAGAGGCCCCAGCACCAGGAAGGGCTCACCTTAATACACACACAGTGTCACCCACCCACATCACGAGTTTTGCCTGTCAGCAGCTTGAGGTGCAGGGCCCCAGAAGACAGACTCCCCCAGTGAGACACAAACAGCTGGCAGGCTTTGTGGCCTGAGCTGGGGCCACCACTCCAGCAGTTTGCAGCCCGCAGCACCTTAACACACGCAGGGTCATCTGTGTCACGAGTTTTGCCTGTCAGTATCTTGAGGTGCAGTTCCCCCCAAACGCAGCAGCTATCTTCTTGAAACTTGGCATGCTTTGTGGCCTCAGCAGGGGCCACCACCCCTGTAGTTTTCACCACCCTGTGGTGTAATACATACACGTGACATGTTTTGCTTTCAAGAATTTGGGGTGCAGTTCCCCCCAAACCTCTGCACCTATCATCTTGAAACTTGTCAGGCTTCATGCTCTCAGCAGAGGCTACCATCCCTGCCAAGTTTCACCCAAATCAGAGACAAAAAAAACAAAGTTATAGATATTTCATTGATCCCCCATTATACCCTATGGTTGGATCTCCAAGGCTTTGGAGCTGCTTCAGGCGGATCGAAGAGCAAACCAATCCAGAGGTCTGGATTGGGTTGCTGACACCCGAACTGGCCAGATCTGAAGCCAGATCGAATATCTGCCTACTCGCACAGGCCTAACTCCTTCTCTCTCTGTCTTTACCGCATGGCTTTGTACACGGAAAGCAGCAGTTGTTACTTCTCTTGCTGCTGCTGCTGTAGCAGTGTTGGAAACTGTAACTGTGGTAGCGGAAGTAGCAGCTGCCTTCCTTGTATCCTAGGCAGCTGTGCAGGAAATTAAAGAGCAAATTTCAAAACAGATAAAAGTTACTTCAAGAGATGAAAGTTAGATTCTGTTCTTGTAGCTGTTG